CATTAGGGGCTGAACTGGAAAAGCCACTGCCCTGGCCAGGCTGGCTGTGCTCTTCTCTCCTGATGAGGATGGGGATGAGGGGAGGAAGGAGTAAAACCAGGCAGTCTTAAGCCAAAGTGGCAGCTGTCCTTCCCTTCTTCCCCAGATGGCAGAGCATTCCTCAGGCCTGCAGCACCTTATCACCCAACTCTTCATGCACCCAGATGATGCAGGGCCTTGTCACTGGGACCTGCACCCAGGGACTGCAGGGACATGCCCATGTTATGAGCTCCACAGTGAAGCAGAATACTCCATGCCTCCTGCTCCTCCTGGGCAGGGTGATGGTGCCCACACCCCTCCCCTGTTCTCCCTAGGGCTGGGCAATCCTGGGGGGACACAAGTTCTCTGCGTGCCCCTGGGAATGAAGCTCTGAAGGCACTGGCCATCTGCAGCACACTATATGTCACGTCCTGGGAAGCAGCCTGGCTGGGTAAGGACCACCTCCCCATGGCTGGTCGCCCAGGGGAGCAAGGGAGGCCTGCAGCTGACTGGCTCTGGGCCTTGCGGACAGCCAGCAGGTGGCAGCCCTGCCTGTGGGACTGCAATGCCCAGGTGCCTGCAGGAAAGTGGAGCTGCTGGAGCTGGGGACAGCAGTGTCTTCTCAGAGATGCCTCCCTTCAGGCCACCCAGCCCAAGGATTGGGGAGGAGATGGGGATGCAGGAGAGGTTGGAGTGCGGAGCCTGTTACCAGGCTCACAGATTGCTGCAGGAGTTACAGGAAGGTTAAGTGGCAATAGAGAGTGGGACAAGGAGCTCCTGCCATCCCAGGAGCTGTGGCTGGGTCCCTTAAGCATGGATATGAATGCCAGGACACCTAGTTTCTGCCTTTGGTGCTGCGGAGTGTGTGGTGACCCTAACGCCAATGTGCGGTTCCCACTGAGCACACAGAAGTGATAGGTGTTGGCACCACACTGTACTCCCCCTCCCCTTCCCGCTAAAATTTCAGGCAGCAAACCTGCTCCAGCCCTGGCACTGCAGGGCAGGGAGGGTTGGCAATGAGCTGTACCCCGAGTATTCAGCAGGGCAATGCCCTGGCTGCAGCGGCCTCCACTTTCCCTTTCCTGGCTGGCCATGTCACTGGTTAGACCAGATGGAGCAGCTGAGCACAGGGAACTGCCAGCCTCACATTGTCTCTATGCCAGCCGTCACCCAGAAGAGGTGTGGAATGTGGTAAACGCTGGCACACACCTTGCAGCAGGGGCAGGGTGGCTGCTCCGCCATGTAGGACACCTCAGACCCTGCTACCATCTCAGAATTGTCCCGGCATGGGGCTGGGGGGGAGGGGGAGAGACACTCCCAGCCCTGGGCTCAAAGCACATCTCACAATGCCTGTCCTGCCTGGGCAGCCTCCAGAGAGCTGGGGCAGATGGGCTTGGGAGTGACATTAGAGCTACCCTAGAAGAGGGGATGAGACAATGCTGGGTACTTACCACAGGGACCCAAGTGGAGTGGGGGACAGCAGGGAGAGCAGCCTGCCAATGTAGCCCTAACTTGTGTTTCTGGGAGTGGCTGGTAACGCTGACAACAGCGCCCAGAGCCCTGCTAACCCCCAGCACTGTGTCCTGCAACATCCCATCTTGTGCTGGGCTTATCTCGATGTGAGCCTCCATACCCACAGCACCCCCCCCCCCCCCGGGTGCTGCTGGGGTAGGTGGGACCTGAGAGGCCACATCTGTGGGGCTGTCTGGGCCCAATTTCTCTGAGCAAGGCAGGTGACTTTGGTGGTATTCCTTTCCCTCTTGGTGCCCCACATGCTCACTGTATCCTGGAGATGCCTCTTCTTGCTGGTCCTCCTGTCACCAACACACTCTGGAGAGCCCTGGCTCCCACCTACGGCCACCTCTTTCTCCCTGCAGCAGGACACCGAGTCTGGAAATGCCTGGCTGGGCTAGCAGCACCCTGCATCATGCTCCCCTCATACCTAGGTGGGCCCTGAGAGCTTCAACCAGCAGCAAGGGAACGGCACAGACATGACCACCAGCTCTGACCTTGAGATAGATGCACTGCAAGCTCTGTGGATGGATCAGGCCCTTGCCATGAGATGTCACCCTCCCAGGCCCACATTGTTGCTCTCAGCTCCTGGGACAGCCAGAGGCTTGGGATAAGACTGATGCCTCTTGGTTCATCCCAGCAGCATCCACCCTCCAGGAGAGGGGAGAAAGCCACAGATGTGAAAGCAATGCAAGGCCAGCCCTGCCTGGGTGCTGGCATTGCAGGGGCAGGGGGTGGATTCTGTCACCCGGGCTCCCAGCCATGCAGCTCCATGCTGGGGCAGGATGGCAGGGCCCCACAGAGGGGTGCCCACGACTGCAATGTGCAGACTCCACGTCACACCTGGCCACAGCTTTGTTGTAGAGAGAAGTCCAGGAGAGAAAGAGGAAAGAACTGGACTGAGCAATTTTTGCAACTCAAAGCTCTGTGGACATAGATGAATAACAGGGGATTTTTTGCAAAAATCCCTGCCTGGCCCTTTGCCACCTGTCCCTAAAGTATGACTCTAAGGAGGAGTAGCTCCATGCCCATCAGCACTGTGCTAGCTCTGCTGCCCTGTGCTCTCGGGAGAGGATGGGGTTGTCTCAAGCGAGGCTCATGCCCTCCGCCTCTCCTGTCATCATGTTCCAACGTCTCCAGAAAACAGGGCCATCCCATGATCTGTTCTCCACAGCCCATTTTCAGGGCCAGGTTTGGGGCATGTAGGTTGGGCAGGAAAGCTATTTCCATAGGGAAGCAGAGCCAGAGACCGCCTGCTGGTGCGGGTGGGGATTGTTCAGGGGCTGATGACCTTCTGGCTCCCAAACACACTGGGGAAGGAGAGTATGAAGGCTGTGGGGCAGGCTGGGCTCCAGAAAGGGCAGAGCCCCAGAAGGGCCCAGAGGTTTCCCAGAGTGTTGGACCCCTTTCTCTGCTGGCAGGTGTGGAGCACACACTGAGCCACACACCAAGGGCACCTCTCCACCCATGGCAGCTCCTGCGTGCGTGGACTGACCACAGCACTTCCCTGGGCCTTCTTGTGTGTCTGCTAAGAGGGAGCCTTGGGAAGAGCAATGCTGCTGAGCCTGATCAGAGTGCTCCCCCCTACATCCTAAAGGAAAGCTACATCTGGCCTCCGATCACATCGCACAAGATGACAGAAAGCAGCGGGCAGGCTGGCCAGGGCTTGGGCAAGAGGATCCTAAATGCTAAACACCTACCCCAGTTTTCCCAAGGTCCATGGCACAGGTAAATTGCACTGCATGAAACTGTCATGTGGTGCTCCTGCACCACTCCAGAGGCAGCTGCATTTCAGCAGTGGGTGGAAAAAGCTTCCCCAGGGGCAAGTTTCTAACCACAGCGTCTGAACACCCAGCCTGGCAGCTGAATCCCTGGGCGCAGCAGGAGCCCTGGGCTTAGCTTCAGTTGAATACAGATGTGTGCCCAACACCAGTGTATCCCCCAGTGGATGTGGCTTGCCCCTTGACAGTGATGGCAGGGGCTGCTCCCTGGCATGGGGACAGCCCTCTGCACTGCAGGATGTTGTGCCCAAGAAACAAAAGGGCATGGCAGCACCCAGCACTCATGACTCTGCAGGGGAGGAATGAAGCTGGGGCAGGTGATCAGCTGGCGTGACCTAGTGCCTCCTGGATGGCAGACTGGTCTTGCCTGCCCTGGGGCTGCAGCAAGGGCCCTGGCAGGATGGCAGGCCAGGTGATGTGACAAGAGAGCTGGGGCACGCAGCCATTGTGCCCTTGCTGGCCACTGGAACAAGGTGGAACATCCATGCTGCCTGTTCCACTCCTGTCCATCACCCCCAAGTGCACACAAAGGTGTGCTCCCAGGTGCCTTTTCAAAGTAAACAAGATGAGGGAGCTTAAGGATGGCTGCGTGATGCCAAGGTCCGCCCCATTCACACAGTGTCATGGATTTGCTTCAGCCAAACTGTTGCATGGATGCAGCTGGCTCTGCAGAGTACCAGCTCCAGGCAAGTGGGTACCAGGCCATTGGCTTTGATGGGCTCGGGGCTCCCTCTACAAGCACAGGGCCAAGAAGAACATGAACACATCCAGACAGAGTCCCAAAAGCCACTGCCCAACAGCTAGAGAGGCGGGAGCCACCAGAAGGTAATTCCCCAAATACATCCTACAGTCCTGCCCTGCCCCATGGCATGTGTCCCTAGCAGGTGTACGTGTATGCTCATGCACCGGCACTTGTGAAATGGCAGGGACTGGGCTGACACAGCTCTGCAGTCTAGCCCAGCCACCCTGAGGCAAAAATTGACCTATCCCAATATGGAGAACAGAAATATTCAGCCACCTGTCTTGGTCTCCACTTCATTGTCCAAACACAGCTAGCCTGCCCCCACTTGGGACCCGCTCCCAGCCTCGGCTGCTTGTCACCTAGTCCTTCATCCTCCTTGTGGCAAGCTGTGCCTATGCTGGACTAGTGAGTGACCGAGCTAGTGTTCCAAATGTGACTGAGGCACCTATGCAAGCACTTGGTTTGTACATGGCTGAGCTTCCCTTCTGGGCAGGACTTCACAAGGGGCATGCTGCATGGCCAGATGGGCACCTGGGGCAGCTTTACCAGCCCCCTTGCCCCAGTCAGAGCCCCAGAGAGGGGTGTGCAGCCTTCCTTCTGAGTGTGTTTTCTTGGCAGCAGGAGCCACATGAACCTGCTGCTGTGAGCAAACAAACATGAGTGAGTGAAATAGCAGCGAAGAAAACACCCCGAGAAGCTGGTGTGGGTGAAACTCTGGGCACCAGCAGGGCAAGGGCTCTGACAATGATTAAACTGGCCAACCCAGATTTCCCGGCAAGGCAGAGCTGGGCTGGGACCCAGTGGTTCATATTATGCAAATCACCTGGATCTGGGAGCATGAACGTTTCAGCCTGGAATTCCCCTCAGGCCGCCAGATCGCATTACCTCCCCGCGCACTATAAAAGGCGATACACGGGCAGGGCCTGCCCATAGGCACCAGACTCCAGGCCAGGGCCTCAATGAGTAGTGGTTAGCAGCAGGGCACGGTGCTTTTGGTTCTCCCTCTGCTGCTCTGTGGATTAGCTGCCGCTCCCAGGATTGCCATCGCAGAAGGTACCAAAACTTTTCCGTTCGGTGCCTGTTCCTTCACGGGGAGTTCTCCCCCTGGCCCAGGATCGCTGCTTTGCTCTCCTCCCTGTGCATCTTTGCTCTCGCCGGGGGATTGCAGTTGTTTTTTTTTTTTTTTCCTAGCTTCACATCTGTTTTGCCACCATAGCCATGAGCCTTTTTGGGAGGGGCTGATGAAACGGCAATGCTGAGGGCTCCCTTCCTAGCCCTCAGATTTTGTCAAGCCAACAGCAAGATCTGGCTCCTCGAAGAAGGCCAAGCACGGGCTTGATGCCCTCCTGGCCAGAGAGTTCTTGGGATGTGTTTTTTACAACGGGTTCAAAGGACTTGACCTCCTGATGCCAGAGTCCCTCCCAACAGCGGAGCACGACCCTGGCAGAGTCAGCAGTGCAGAGAGCCGGGCTGTAACTTTCTGGGCACTGCTGGGCTGTGGGGCTGGGGTACTGCCTGACTGCTGAATTTCCTGTGATATCTGGCCCCATAGAGGGGCTGTGCAACACCAATCTGCAATGACAGCAGGGCTGCTTGCTTATTATCTGTTTACATTGGCTCTGAGAGGGGTTGGAGAGGCCAGGCCTTTAGAGAAAAGACTTTCTTGCAAGTGTAATGATGCTGCGTTCCTCGGCCTGTCCTGAGCCTCCTTGTTCCAGGGAGGAGGGGGGGGGAGCTGGCTCACACCAAGCCCTGTGATGGCAGTGAGTCGGGCCCCAGCCCAGACCGGCCAGGTGCCGGGCATGGATGTTTCTGTAGAGGTGACCTGAGAGGTGACGTTAGCCAGAGGGAAGGAGAGCCCAGCCTCGCCCAGCTCCAGTCCCAAGGCTGCTGTGGGAGCTTCAGGCTCAGGTCCCCCTGCCTTGACAGGGCCAGGACTCACTGTGGTCTCTCAGCACAGAGCTTGATGGCGGGATCTTGTGAGATCAGCAACATCTTCTCTAACTACATCAGCGCCATGTACCAGCCAGAGGAGGGGCAGCCGACCCTGGATGTGCTGGGACACCTTGGGGACGACAGCACCCTGGGGCTGAGCCTCCCCACCAGCCAGCCCCTGGCAGACAGCACAGGTAGGGTTAAGGAAGGATAACAGGGGGAAGTGGTGGTGGGCTGCAAAGGGGACCCAGCATACAGGGTAGAAATGAAGCAGTACTGCAGTCTTGGAAGATCATGTCAAGGTCCTGGTCCCACTGGGGCAAGTCAATGGTTTGCACCATGCCTCAGTTTCCCCAGTGGTGTGTTGGCTAGAAGTTTGCTGGAGGAGACCTAAGATGGCACAAAGTCTGGTGTTCAAAGCGCACCGACTGTATGGGGGGATAGGGACTCATTGCTATCTTCCCCCTAACACATCCCCAGGACGCAGGCTGTGAGAGCTGAATGGGGGCCAGGGAGCAGTTTGGAAGGATGGTCCTAGTGCTTGGGGTCCCACTCTGCTGGTGGGACTGTTGCAGGATGGCCACAGGGGAGGCGTAGGGAAGCCAGCAAGGGGAACACAGCCAGCAGAGCAGGGCAGAACCCATCATGGACGGGGCAAACAGCACCAAAACTTGGTGGTGGGCAGGGGGTCAGCTCATCACTGTCCCCCAGAACTTCTGCAGAGCAGGGCAATGTGTGGCTGGCAATCCAGGAGCAGGCGTCAGGCATGTGTTAGCCCCATAAACTGCCAAGTGCAGGGCCTGCTGTGCCCTGCATGATCAGCATGGGGACGGACCCCACTCAGGCAGCCCATGGCACCCTGCCCTAGCACTGCCTCCCTGCCCCTGAACCCCATTCTCTGTCCCTTGCAGACAAGCCGGAGTGGTTCAGTGAGCTCCCATACTTCTGGACCAAGGTGCAGGTGCTGGAGTGGATCAGCTACCATGTGGAGAAGAACAAATATGATGCCAGCTCCATCGACTTCTCCTGCTGCAATATGGATGGGCATGCGCTCTGCCACTGCACAAGGGACCAGATGCGCCTCATCTTTGGGCCCCTGGGGGATGAGCTCTATGACCGCCTGCATGAGATCAGTGAGTGGTCTCAATGGTCCTTCTGTCTTTGGGCTGGTAGGCTCTCAGCATGAGGCTGAGAGCCCCCTACTAGCCCAGGGACCCCCTGCTGACCTGGGCACTGCAGAGGGCTGTCTAGGGGGGGGAGGCTGCCTTGGGAGAAGCTGGACAGGGTGGCGTGGGGGAGTGGGGGCACAGCCTGGAGTCCAGGCAGGGCTGGGCTCAACTCCCTATGTGTACCATTCCCCACTGCATCGCTAACCCCAGGCACCCCCCTCTGCAGCCTCTGATGAGCTGAATTGGATCATTGACTTGCTGGAGAAAGAGGATGTGACTTCCCAAGAGACATTCCTGGATACCAGCCACCTGGGTAAGAGAGGTGCCTTGGCCAGGCTTTGTCCCCAGGGACCACATGTTGCAGGGAATGCTAACCCCTTCCTCCCTTCTCTGTCCCTTCCAGAGCTGGGAAATCCCTGTGCCAAGGACTCCCTGGAGGAGATGAAGTTCACAAACCCTTTCCTCTCCACAGATTTTAGCTGCTTGCCTGGTGCCATGTCACCAGGCAGCTCAGATATCTCAGGTCAGTGTTCTGCCCATTGTCTGCCCAGCTGCGAGCTCCTCTTGTTTGCACTGAGCTGGGAGGGTGATGGGATCCTGCCCCAGTGCAAAAAGCAAGTTGGGGCCTTGTATCAGAAGGCTGAGCTGCAGGGGCCTGATGAGGATGAGGAGGAAAAGCCGGGGGAAAGCATCTTCAGATGCAAACTGCTGGTGGTCTGAACCCTGTCCTTTTATCTCCCAGGGCCTGTGATGTCCCATAGCCCCAACTCCCAGGACTCCGGTGGAAGTGACCTTGACCTTGACCTTGACCCTGCAGAAGCAAAGCTCTTCCCTGATGGTGAGTTGTTTGCTTCCCACCTGGGAGCTCAGAGACGAGAGCTTGTTCCTGGACATTTCCAGCTTTCTGCCTGGCACAGTAACAGTGCAAGGGCTAGATGAAGAAAGTGAGGGCCAGTGCGAGGGCCAGAGCACAATTCCTCTGACAATGATTTAGAGGAAAGATCTGAACAGCCATCTCCACACAGGGAAGGAGGGAGAGCATCAGCTTTCTATGTGCCCTGGACCCCTTTCTCCCCACTTGAGCATGGTAATCATGCAGGCTTTGCCTTGCTCTGTGCCAGAGCTAGTGTAGTCAGGGTAGCAGTGAGGTTAGTGGGAAGGGGAAGGCAAAGGCAGCTTTAGCCAGATTTTCCAGGCCCTATGAGCCAAGGGCATGTGTTCAGGTTTGAGGCCAGCTGCCTATGAGATGGGGATGCAAGGGAGCAGCAAGGTTTAGGGAAGGAACAAAATGCTGCCCTATAGATAGAGAAGCATGCCACATCTTTCCTGGTGGGGAAGGGGACAATGGCTGGAGGGAATGGGGAGACCTTTCTCTCAGGTAGCTGGTTCTCTGGTACCTGGGTCTGCAAAGTGGGTGGAGTCCCTGATTCCCCCCACTGCTAGCTCTTCCCTGTGCTTCTGCTCCTGAAGAAAGAGGCTAGACATGTCTCTGTGCCCAGGGAGGTGTGAGCTGCAACCCAGAAGACTCTGAAGACAGAGTAACATTTCCTCTTGTCTGTGTGCACAGATGGCTTTGCAGGGGGCAAGAAAGGGGACAGCAAACATGGCAAGCGGAAACGGGGACGGCCCCGAAAACTCAGCAAGGAGAGCAGAGACTGCCTGGAGAACCGGAAGAGCAAGCACTGTATGTGGACTCCAGCCAAGCCCCTCCAGCCAGGAGCTGGGAACTGCCTGTCCCCAGCTTGACTCCATGGGTGGGGGAGGTGGGAGAAAGGATGGTGTCCACTGGCCATGCTCCTTGGCAGGGAGCTCAGGGGAACCTAATATACAGGGAAACCCAGGAGCTTCCCCCTGCTCAAACAGCGTGTTCTCCTCCAGCCCCAAGAGGTACCCACCTGTGGGAGTTTATCCGGGACATCCTGATCCACCCTGAGCTGAATGAGGGGCTGATGAAGTGGGAGGACCGGCGGGAAGGTGTCTTCAAGTTCCTGCGCTCAGAGGCAGTGGCTCAGCTCTGGGGCCAGAAGAAGAAGAATAGCAGCATGACCTATGAGAAGCTGAGCCGAGCCATGCGGTGAGTGCCCTCCCCTGTTCCACAGGGGGTACCTTGCCCATGGAGCTGGGTCAGATCCACCAGAGTTCAGCCCTGGCCCCCTACAGCAGCTCCCAGGATGTGGTGCTACATCCAGGACCCTGATTCCTCCTCTATCCCCTCCAGGTATTACTACAAACGGGAGATCCTGGAAAGAGTTGATGGGCGACGGCTCGTGTACAAATTCGGGAAGAACTCCAGCGGTTGGAAAGAGGAGGAGGTGTTGAACAGGAACAAGGAGCTGTAAAGGTCCTGGATGAACTGGGGCCCAGCAAGCCCCCCAGGACCAGCCCGAACCTGGCTTCTTGGCAGGAAACTTTGCCTACTGTTGGATCCAGAAGCTGCTGCCCCATGCAGCGTTTGAGACTGCAGCCCCTTATATGGGCACACATGCACGCTGGTGACTACCAGCACTGAGATATTTAAAGCTAATTTTTTGGCTCCAGTAGGTTATTGTAAACCATTATTTCCCTCATTGGATTTGTACCTCCAACTGGAGTTTCAGTGACTTTGGCTGTTTCAAAGCCTGGACAAAGGCAAAGAGGAAGAGAAATCTGGGTAACAGATGGCACCGAAGTGAGAACCCAGCAGGTATCCTGCTGGCAGCCACCTCCTGCCCGGACAGAGGGACAGTGCCACTATTTCATCTGTGACCAGAAAGGAATCAACCCAACTATGAGGCCTTTCTAGAATGTCCTCCTCCAGTGCTGTTCAAGGCCTGCTAAAGGTGTCCACTGTCCTATTTTCTCCACATGGGATGAGTGAGGCCCCTCTGTGCAGCAGCTCCTCGACATGGCACCAGCCAAGAGCAGATGGAGACAGCACAGAGTTTCATCCAGCTCTGGAAAATCCACAGAAGGAGAGAGGACTCCAGACAGCAGGGCCTGTTTGAGTTTCCAGTCTGGCCACCTGTATCTGGAAACAGGCCTTTTTCCCAAGAGTGGCTTCTAATTTATGTAAGACATAAAAAGGCACAGAATGAATGTACAGATCTATTTTTTCATGAATAAGATGTTCCCGTGTGACAAGGTGCATTGTAGGGCACGCACGTGTCTTGTGGCAGGTGGTGATGCTCAGCTGGACTGAAGCAATGTCACAGGGGCACAGACTGGCTCTGTGTCAGCCACAGGAGGGGGATGCTAGCCCAGCCAGGCACCCAGCAGGTGCATGTGGTTTCCTCCTTTTGAATTATGATCATAAAGGAATAAATTCTTATTTGTTTGGTTTTTTGTAACTTCTTGTATGTCATTTTGCTTGCTTTGCTTTTCTTGAAGACAGGGCAGGTGACCAGATGCATATTACCTGGGGTGAACCATTGCATGAACCCTGTCTGCCACCATCTCTCCTGCCTGAAATTGCCTGTATCTGTCCAACCCTCCTGGCCAAGGGTTTCAAGGTCTTCTTCAATGTGAGATGGACAGCCCGGTCCTAGCTTGGTGGGAGTGAGGGGTAGAGGCCTTGTCTCGAAGTCAGGGCATATAAATCACCTCATCACTGCAGGGGAATCTTACACCAGCTCCCAGCTCGTGGCCCTTGTCCAGAGGCCTCTCCAGAGACTTCTGCCCTACCATTTACCTTTGCATGAAGGCTTTCCCAGAGAGCCATCTCCAAGCTGGTGTTTGGTAAGTCACAGGAGCTCCTAGGTGGGATGTAAACTTCCAGAAGCCAGAGACCCATGTTCTGGGTAGGCAAGGTGGGGACTTAACTACCCCAGCATTTAGGTCTCTAATCTGGCTCCTGGAGTCATGAACTGAAGGGAGGACCTGCAGCCCCTCTCTGACCAGGGTGCTCTTCTAAGATATGAAGGGACATAAAGAAGGAGCCACAGGGGTGCCATGGACCCCTGAGAGGAGTCCATGGGGGCTGAGAGGGTTTCTCTGACCCCTCAGGATATGTCTGTGGGGCAGCAAGAAGGAATATACAGGGCTGGAGGCAAGGCAAACTCCTGGCTATGTTTCTACCATGAACTAGGCAAACAGTGATCAATGCATCACTCTCAGTTGGTATGTGTTTTCTGCTTTTCATGATGAGTCTTCACAAAGATGGCTGGGCATCAAAAGGTCTGGTACCCAGCAGAGTTGCCACTCCATTGTCTTCCTGGTGTCCAGGACCCTCCTGAATGTGAACATGGAGGAAACAGCACCACTCAACTTCTGTTTACCCTCAAGAGCAAAGGTCCTGGGATCCCTCCTCTATGCTTGGAGCTTGACTAGGTCTGGGACGCTCAGGTAAAAGCAGTGCCACATCCAATGCCACATCCTTCAGCAAGGTTACTGTTAGTGTCTGGAGTGACTAAGAAACAGAGTCAACCCACCACCAAGGAGATGAGGGCAGTTTTGGAGATTTCCCTGAGCAGGGAGGATGCTTTGCAAAGACTCAGAGGTTTCTTTTTGGCAAGCCGACCCAGATATCAGATCTGCCCTCTGACTGCCCTCTGTTGCTGGAGGAGTTGAGGCACTGTTAACAATTACCCATGCCTGGAAGAGTCTGTCTGCAAAAGAAAGATGAGACCTTCAAAGCAAGGTCTCATGTGGACCATCTGTACTAGCTACCCTGGGCTGTCCCAGTTGCAGGAGCTGACACTGCCCCCAGTTTTCCTGGTCTGCAAAGGGAAAACTCCTCCTGTATGCAACCTGGGGACCCTGTTTCCCTGGCTGCGGGCTCAGAGGAAGCTGAAGGATCTTCTGATGATGTTGCAGAGGCCCCAAGCGCCCACAGGGCGTCAAGTACAGGGCACACTATGGCAAGAGTCCACCTGACTTGCTGCTAGAAGGAGGTGCCCATGGGCCAGCCCTAACCTCTTTGGGGCAGGTTCACCTACTGTTTGCATGAGGAATTGCCTTGCTGGCTCAGCTGGGTGGCCTGATCTCCTTCTGCCATGCCATAGGGCATGGCCCTATGTCCATCCACCCTTGCTGTTTAGCAAGACAGCTCAGGAGTGGGGAATCTGTGGTCATGCAAAATTCTAGGGATGACAAAATTACTTTCTAGCGTGCTGGACTACAGTTCCACGGACCCCCACGTATACAGGGCTGAGATGAAACCATCAGGGTTGCCTGGTGGTGAAAGAAGAGGTCCCAGTCCATGGGTGTGAACTGGGAACAAGTCCGTGGACTGGGCTGCAGCCAGTCCATTGTCAGGTTACTTGCATAACCTTCCCCAGGGAACAGGCTTTCCCGGCTGGAGTCTGGTGGCTCCAGCAAACAGATGGTGCTCCAGGCCCATCCCTGACCTCCATGACCTGCTGGAAGAAGCAGGCTGGACTGGGCGGCAGTAGGGACCGTGCTTGGATGCTTGGGCTGCCCACACATGCTACATGTGTGGGAGAGGGCCATGCTGGTAATTGGAAGCAGCCAGTGTGTCTAGGGAGGCGACACTGTGAGCAAGTCAAGCGCAGCCCCAGGCCAGGTCTCTCAGGAGCCGTCTGTGTCATCTGTGCTCCTGGCTGCCGTCCCTCAGAGTTTGGGGTTGTGGGTGAGGTGTTTATTCTCAGTCAATAGATAACCCTGGCCGGTTGGCAGGGAGAGAAGAGGACTTTGTCACGCAGCCTGCTGCCCTGCCAAGCGCACCTTGTTTGCTCAAGCAGTTTCATTTCTTTCCCGCTGCGGTTTGCGTTACCTAACAGGCCTGGGACAATGTTTAACCAGCTCTGGCAGCAACAGGAAACCTGTCTGCCTTGCCTTGCCATGTTCCCAGTGTTCCCACCACCCACCCACGACCCCCTGCTACAAACATTGCACGGGGAGGGCAACCAGCCTAGAGGCTTGGAGCATAAAGGGGGGGGGGGGGGGGGGGTGTTCACCC